CTTTATTCCCGGCCAAATTATTGGATTGGTCTACGCCTCGCTCGGTGCGCTTCTGTTCTCCGTCTATCTGGTGTACGACACCCAGCTCATGCTGGGCGGCAATCATAGGTACGCGATCAGTCCCGAGGAGTACATCTTTGCCGCACTGAACCTCTATCTGGACATAATCAACATCTTCATGTACATTCTCACCATCATCGGCCTGGCGCGCAACTAAGTGAACCCGATCGGGCTGTGCGCTATCTAGAACTATTTATTACTTTATTACCTAACTGAGATTATGTGTCGGAATTGTTCAAGAAATACAGTTACAATAACAATTTATATTTGTGCGATTTGCGAGTGTTCCAGCGACTGTTGCTTGTGCTGCACCAGCTGCAATCTGGCAGTTGGGCTGCTGCGACCCTGTCTCACGCAGCGGTGTCCAATTAATTAAAACACACGAAAGGCCGTAATGTAATTATGTCCAATTGAGATTTGGCCGCGTGGCGGTTGAGCCCATGGCTTAGCGCTTGGGCAAAATCTGGTCTGGAAATGCGCAAGGCCCCGCGATCAGTTGTGCGCGCATTTGATTCGGGTTCGGTTCGGACGGTGCGATGGATTTCGATGAAGTACTTAAGGAGGTGGGCGCATTCGGCCTGTATCAGAAGATTATCATATGCTCGGTGCTGTTGCCGGCGGCATTGCCGTGCGCCTTTCACGCCTACAGGTTGGTCTGACCACGCCCACAAGTCTCTGGACTCCGGATTAGCCCCTTTCCTAATACCCTAATGGCTTTGCAGTCAGTTGTTTATTGCAGCCACGCCGAAGCACTGGTGCCGCATCCCAGAGTTGGAGCCATGGACACAGGACTATATACAGCTCGTCAAGAACTTAAGTATTCCGCGGGACGGACACGGCGCCTATGCTGAGTGTGCCATGTTCGTCCGCAACTACAGTGAGATAGTGCGTGAATTAAGCATCTTTTCTATTTTCATAAATAACAAGTACATATTTGCATGCATTTGCATTATAATTGCCCAATCCACAGGAGATCTTCAAAGATATCGAAATATTCAAAAACTTATTAAATTCCTATAAGAACTTCATAATGAATACCTACATATCTAGTATGTATGCACTGCTTACATCACTTACATTCACTGCTTACATCAGTTTGCATACACATTTACTTGTGTGTACTAAGAACATCACAAGCGAAAGCAGTTTAAATGTGAAATCAAGCAGTGCACAAGCAGTGTACCCCGTTTGGACAGTTCGTTACGATATTTAAGCTATTTACGATATTTTAAGTGCCGCATAAAGCGGAAATTTTAATATTTTTCCTTTATTACAGGTGCGTTATCTGGAGTATCGTACGCCGTATGAGCTGCAAAAGGAGCAGGCGTCAAAGTTATTAAAGGTGGATGAGGATTCGGTTGTGGCCTGTCAGCATGGCTGGCATTACGATAGATCCATGTATCCCAGCACTGTCGTCCAAGAGGTACGAGATGCTCCCTGATGGAACTTAGTTAATCCTCTTTTGCTTGTAGTGGAACCTGGTCTGCGATAGGAGCTTCTACGTGACCCTTGCCCTAGTCCTCTTCGGCGTGGGTGGTCTGGTTGGCAACTATGTGTTTGGCTATCTGGTCGATCTGTGGGGTCGACGTCCCTCCTTCTACGCCTATCTCCTGCTCGAAATAGTGGCTTGTGCGGCCAGCGCCTTTGCCTGGAACTACTACTCATGGCTGGGTCTTCGTTTTGTCGTGGGCCTCACCGTGCCAGCCATATTGGCCAGTCCCTACGTCCTGGCAATCGAACTGGTGGGACCGGAGCGTCGGGTATTCTGCACAATTGTCTCCAACATTGCCTATTCTCTAGGCCTGGTCCTGCTCGCGGTAGATACAATCTCGCTGAACGAGAACATAGAAGATTTAAGATTTGTATATTCGAAGGGCGTGGTCTACTTAGTGCGTGACTGGCGATATCTGACACTGGCCGTATCGCTGCCGCTGCTGATGCTCTTCTCCTGCTTTTTCGTGCTGCCCGAGTCGCCACGTTGGCTGATAGCCGTGGGCCAGACAAAGCGGGCAGTGCGAATCCTCAAGGTCATGGCTCGTGTCAACGGAATGCATGTCTCGCGGGACTTTGCGGAGCGGCTGCAGCAGCGACTAAGCCGGACACAGCCCGGGGAAACAACGCACTATGGCATTCTGGACCTCTTCCGCGGCACAAATATGCGACGCAAGACGCTGATTGTGACCCTGATCTGGTTCGCCAACACCAGCGTCTACGTGGGCCTCAGCTACTATGCCCCGGCGCTGGGTGGCGACGAGATCTGGAATTTCTTTCTTGCGGGCGCGGTGGAGCTGCCCACGTACCTGCTGCTCTGGCCTGGCCTTAGCTACTTTGGACGGCGTTGGATTCTCTTCATTTCCATGCTGGTCGGCGGAGTGGCCTGTGTGGCCACCGTGCTGTATCAGCAACAGGCGGAGGTGATGCTGCTCCTTTACTGCATTGGCAAAATGGGCATCTCATCGGCGTTCGTCGTATTGCCCCTGCTCGCCTCCGAGCTGTACCCAACCGTGGTGCGTGGCCTGGGCATGAGCTTCAGCTCCGTGGTGGCCATGACGGGGCCCATTATTATACCGTTAATTAATCACATGGTGAGCTCATTGAGATTAGCTAAATGGTGCTCATCTTAAGCTAACGTAATAATCCATTCTGCGTGCAGGGCCAGCAGATGCTGGTGCTGCCCCTGATTGTGATGGGCGCCCTGCTGATTGTCGGTGGCTTTGCCAGTCTCTTCCTGCCCGAGACGCGTGGCAGGAATCTGCCACAGACTCTGGAGGAAGGCGAAGCGGTTCCGCTCAGTTTTCTGCTCTGCTGTTGCGCAGAATCGAAGCCGAAAAGCCGACAAAGAGGTCTGGGCACGAGCCGGATGATGCCTGAGGAAGCTGCAACGGTTTATCACAGAGTCGGCGTTGGAGGTCCTGCGTCCTGCAAAATCGTTTGCAGCATTTGTAAAAAAGAAATGCGAACATTGTAATAAATAAACAATTGTTTAAAATCTTCAGTAACAATTGGATCATATAATTATAATTGATATTGTATATGTACACGTGCTTTTCGAATTGGTAAAAATCACAAAGCCGAACTATGACAATGCGATCTGTCACATATTAATATTCTGCCTAGAAGTATGCTACGATTTTTTTGTATTTCTATGCAAGCCCTAACATTTATGGGCTAGTTACGCTCAGTGACTCATTTCGCTATTTGTGATATTTGTACATAAGAATTAAATTCATAATTGATTTTAAAGAGAGATTTTAGGATACATAACTGCATGCCATACGCAAATGTATTATTATTCAATTCAATAAGATGATATACTCTTTCAAGCGTATAGTAGATGTTAAATATTCTTTTAATTCTTTCGCATAATGGATGAGACAGTGAAGAAGACATCCATTAATTAATGGATTACAAGCAAATTTGTTCCTAAGTTTAATTAAGACTCTTCTTGATTAGAGACGCTGAAATCGGATTGCTAGATTATATAACATTATAGGTTTTTGTACAAATGTATCTTATAACAACTTGAACCACGTTCAGTTTATAAAATTAAGTATGCTAAGCTTGATTGCTTCACGTTATTCAGATCAGATAGATAAATAAGTTCTAGAAGTAATTTAATTAACTTGCCCTGAAGGGCATCCCAAAGACAAGAAGCCATTTTGTATAGAGCAACCGCTGCTTGTGTGTGTGTGCACGTGCGTGTGTGTGTGAGTGTGTTTGAGCTGAAGGGTACTTCAGTTATGGGTAAAAGGTGTCAATAGTCGATAACACTCAAACTAGTTGCTTAAGAGCTAGTATATACTTAAGGCAACTTAATTATATTTGTGTGTGTTGTTCAGCTATTTACTTTGTAACAACTTACACACACTCACACACACACACACGCACACTTTATTTACATGCTTACATAAATAAGTATGCATCATTTATTCAATACACACGCACGTTTATCAGCACAACTACATATATACATATGTACATACGTATTGGTACGTTTGCATGAGAAAAAGTGTAAAGTACAAAGTCCAAAACACTCGACGAGTGGCTGCGATCGCAGTTGTAAAATTGCATTCGCCTTATCAATGGCACACGGAACGCCGGAGCACAACAAATAGGAAAAGAGAGAGACTCGCAGTGCGGAAGTGTGTGTGTGACAGGTAATTACATGCGCGTATGCCAACAAAAATGGATAAACACTTAAAATTGCAATTCTCTTATGTATACGTATATTTGTATGTAAACTTAAGCAATAGCCGAACAAAAGAATCCATAAATAACATAAGCAAGAAGTACCGAGAATAATAATGAATATATGCATAGGTGAGTCTTAAGGTAGATGTGTATATGTATTTGAATAGGGGCTGGTTTAATTGTCATACTTTCTTCATTAACTGGATTTTATGCATTGTTGCAGAAATGAGTTGCTTGGCTTCGCTTAACTTTTACCTTGCGATTTGCTCAGGTTCTCAAAATAAACTTTTAATTGCAAATAATGTAAAATTAAGAAACACATTTTTTGGGTTAAACGAATCAAATTCAAACTGTTCCAATTTGTGCCGCGAACACACACCCTGTTTATATGTATGCAAGTGTCCATGGAGTGGGCATGTGTGTAACAGTGAGAAACAACGATCAAAACAAACAAGAAAAACTGCCTCGACCAGGCAGATAAACGAAAGACAACAACAACGCCAGATGTCGCCAGCGAGTCGAAGAAACCCATGTGCATTTAAAACATAATGTAATCGGTTCGAGCATCTACAGCAATGTACAGCTAGTACACACACACACGCACACGCACACGCACACGCTTGTATATAAATGTATGCATATGCCCATGTATATATATAAACTTAATGTTGTGTTTGTGACGCCTTCGCAATTGATTAAACCTACGGAGCGCCCGGCATCGACCATCGAGCAGCGTTGTCGGCGCTGCGTTCAGTGCGATCGCAGACATTGTGCAAAACGGTTCGCATAGGCTCCAAACTGAACGCTGGAATTGAAATTGGAATTGAAATTGAAATTGAAATTGGAAGTGCGCAAGTAGCTGTGCTGGAACTGTGTCAGGCCAATTTGTAAACGTTGAAAAGGGCGTTACCCCCACCCCATGCATAGTGGCCATCAATCATTTTAACCAATTACAACGAAGCACAGCACAACTCGTCACAGCCTTGAGGTAGGTCGCGTTTGGCCTCTATGTTATGTCCAACTAGTGTAAGGCCCTTGCGGCTCGACGGGCTTCAAGGCTGACCTTATCAGCAAGAGTGCAACGTCGTCTTAAGGTCCATCTTATCGTGCCACGTTTGCTGTTAACAAATCAAATAGCTGTTGACTATAATGGCGCGTGCTCGGCGCTGATTTTAGTAGTCAAAAGTGTTATCAGTGGTGCGAAGTGAACTGTTTTGAACTTGTTAAGCGCCCGAGTGCTAATTGATAATATGTATGAATCGACATCGACTATATAGTATATATAGAGGTGCTTATCTTCAATATTGCCATGCTGAAACTAAGACGCAGTTTATTTTCTCTGCGCGGCGAAATTCATAAATTGCATACTTATCGCTTTCATATCAAAAATGTACCTTCACAAAAGTTTGAGCCTCAAAATAATATTATTTGCAATTCATTTACCTTCCAATGAGTTGTTATTTGTTTCGAAACGCTGCAAAACTTTATCGCAAATTGAGTTAATTCAAAGCAATCATACGAGGCCATTATCACACACACACAAAAAAAAAAAAAAGAATAAAAAGCCAAACACTTGGAAACAAGAAGAGAACATAAAAAACAATGTGCACACAAATATATTTATACGAGAGTCCACTGAAAACACGAATTCACAAAAAAAAAAAAACAAATCATTTTTGATATATTTTTAGCTTTATCAATTTGTTTTCTTACGGGAGGCTCGACATTTGTGCGCTCTTACTCCTCCAATTTATATAGCCATGGATAGCGTCAAGTCGTTTTTCGCCAACCCAAACAAAGAGAATAATCTGGCCAATCAGCAAAATGGCGTTACGCGTCGCTGGGCCACCTGGAACGGCAACATGCAGGCACACTCGGATCCGGGTTCGGTGAACGCGGCCAGGAGAGACCCGAACCGCGTCGATGCCAAGCGCAAGGATAGCGACAATTACTTCTATATCATGTAAGTTCTAAATATAGTCCAAATAATGCGGGGCAACAGATTGTGTGCAGCCTTGACTTGCTTATCGATAGAATTTATAAACGATGTGAGCAATCAATTTGTGATTTCGGTTCACCTTTATCAACTTGCATGGAAATATCTTTATAAACACTTCGAAGCGTTATAAGTTATAATTTACTCTTGTTATCAGAGCGTAAACAGCAAATACTTAACATTTTAATTGGACCGAGACTCCAACGTTCTCTAGCACTTTTTGTAAACCAGTTTTTCGATCTGGTCGTCGTCATTGAAAAATACCAGTATCGTGTTCATAAAACCAACATTCAACCCGAACAATTCCAAATCGTTGGCAAAAGCTTTTCTGACGTACACACTAGAGAACTTGGCATAAAGATTGATATAGTGAGGGGCAAAGGGTTGGTTGGGGGATTGCTTTGGGGCTTTACGTCGTACTCGTTCTCCACTTCAGTTACGAATTAGCTGCGACGAGCGTGAGCTGTTGCTTAAATAGCTTGTCGAAGGCGGGCTAAAACCCAAAAATAAACTCACCTGGGTAGCCAAGTATAAAGTGAATGATTCAGCACGGCAGCTGGAACAGTACCAGTTGGCCAACGGGCAGGATTACGTGCAGCGCGTAAGTTTCAAGATCAGCCAAATGTTGACTCATTCTGCTTGAGGAAGGGCGTTCATTTTATCCAGATCCAACTAATCTCTCTCTCTCTCTCTCTCTCTCTTCGTCTTGCTTCCAGGTGGCGAGCTTAAGGGAATCCCAATAGCAAAGGAGCCATAAGGATTAGGATTTAGTCTAAAGTGACCTACATCTAATTAAAGAGACATCGGCGCTGTGACAGACGTGTTTTGCCCTGTTGCACAATCTCGAAGCGCGGTGTTTAGTGATATTAGTTATTTATTTGTAATTGATTTGTAAACTCACATTGTCTGATCGAGACTGGCTCACCTTTTCCGGTGTTTATGGACGCGTTAACAGCTTTTGGCTTGATTTATTGGCTGATCTGCATGTTTCTCTTTGGACCCATGATGTTCTTCGTCTGCGTTTATCTGCCCGAAGTGCCAGTGCGATATGTGAAGAGCCTGAGACAGCAAACATAGATCTTTTACACCCTACTTAATTGTTTATAAATACTTATATACACACCCAATACATAGCACATAGAATATACAATTTATACTGTAATTGATGTACTCGTATAAACAATATAACAACGCATTCTTTACGATAAAAACCTCCGATGTGTTATATTCAAAAGTCATGTTCTCTTGAATCTTAAAATCAAGGTTAAGCCCAGCGAGGTGCGAGGCTTGCCCGTCCAAAGTTCGCGTTTGTATGAACCCAGCCATGGCCTTCTATCTATAAGCGAACATTGAACTCTCTCGCTGTATGGGGATTACGGATAAATATTTAACGCGTGAATATGTGAAACAGAAAACTGCAATCGCATTGACTTCCTTTCTAGTAAGTCCAGGCTTGTCATCTAGTTTTCTTATTTATAGATTGAATTTAAATTAAAACATTTTATAGCAAGCCAAGAAGAGCTCAACAAATGGCATGCAGAATGTCTCTAACTACAGGTAAGCTGCTTACCATATTGAAAAAATTAACCATATTTTTGATCGTGCTAGACTATAATAATTATAAATACCTCCAGGGTAAGTTAGATGAACGTGGCTTGAGCTTTCTTCGAGATGGATATGTGCCAATCCAACTTGCTAACATTTATATAGGAACTACCCTTTCTTCTTCGATTACCTTTGCTAGGAACGATTATCAATTATGATGGAGTATTTTGTTTCACTCTAGACTGTCAACATGACTTTATAAATAAACTTGGACCCAATGTGGCTTCTTGGCTCCTGTGTGAGTTTAAGAACTTTGCTGAATGAATGTTGACTGTCAAATTAGTCGCACGAGCTGTGTATCCAAAATAAAGATTAGAGAATAGAAATAGCTTTACGCAGCCAAATCGATATGCAAATGGCAGCTAATGCCTGGGAGCTGGGAGAGCTGGGAGCGTTAGCAAATTTCTATAGTAACTCGAATAAACAAAGACGTTGACGCTGGCAAAGGAAAAGCAAGCGGCGAATTCCATTGTTCTATATCACAATTACGTAAAGTTTAGACTGTGAAAAACGAAAAATTTGTTCAGTTAATGTCAGGAAAACATTAGTGCCCCCACATGAGTGTGTATAAGTACAAGGGGAAACACGTTTAGAAAAACCTTTTCAAGAACAAACAAAAAAACTATCCACAAGCCACATCCACGCCGAGAAACCCGAAAACGAATACTGCTCCATCATGCAGGTGGCTAAGCCCAAGGAGGGCAAGCAAAAGAAGGTAAGCAATTATTCCAATATTCCAACAATCAAAAAATAAAGAAAAACAAAACCACTTTGCACAATTCCATACGAGTCCGGGTCCGGGTCCATTCGGTCTCTGTGCATGCGCACGCTTTGCGAGCTGTCAACATTGTGATTGGGCTAGGGGCAAATCCTTGTCAGCGTCGCGCATTCCGTTGTCCTTCGCTACCAGGAGTCTATTTTCGTATTTAAAAATTCGCAATTACTTTTTAATAAGTTCGCTGAAACGTAGCGCAGCAAAAGTTATTGGCGCTCTGATGGAACTTTGTCACGAAACATAATTTGCAATTTGCCCGAAGCGCAGGGCGGGTCAGGGCGGGGGATTGAGGGATTGGGGCTGGCAGGTCAGGTGGGCTGGTTGGCATGTGCGTGCCGCCAAAAGAGATGGCACTACCAGCTTTCAAGCACGGTAGATCAGTGCAGAAATGCAACTGTATCCAAGAATTTCTATTCGAGTACTCCCGTTACGAGCCAATTGGGTGTCACTGGCAATCAAAGTCAAGTCAAATCCTTGCCTCAACGCAATAAAAAGAGTCAATAAAACAGACATTGATACGACTCTAGACTCGACATAGAAATAAATAGCTAAGTGAAAGCAACGCCTAGGGCACAAGTCCGCCCAACAGTAGGTCGGGATTCCCTTTAAGCGGGTTGTGTGCAATTTGCTATTTATTTACGCGCCCAGCCGGAAATGTCAACACCCTCTCGACTCCAATCGCATCCTTGCCCAGGACGATGACGTGCTGTAGACGTCAGCGTGGCAACTTTTGGCTGCGCGTCGAAAGTCGAAAGTTTCGCGAACGTCATCAGCTTCGCTTCCAGGAGCTGGCTGCCTCGTGGTTGGCCCAGGCCAAGACTCAGTCGTGTTGCGCCCTCCAAAAGGTTCAGGCCTCGCACGTCTCGTGCCCTAACATTTCCCACTAGTGCTCCGCCCGTACAGATTGCCGAGATGTGGAAGCTTGCCAACAAGGCCATGGCGGTATTTGAGTATTCAATCGTAGCGATCAGTATCTGTATCTGTATCTGTAACCATATATCTATCTGTATCTGAGCAGTTTTGTACTAGACCTTATGCAAGTTGCTTTTATCGCAAGTAGTGCAAATTGTGTGTGTGTGTGTGTGTGTGTGTGTATATATTTTTATGTGTGTAGTTGTACAGCAACAGCAACAAGCCAAACAAAATGTAAATACAATCTTAGACTACAATTCTGTAAATACAAATCTTATTTTCCAACTATGTATGTAGATCTTCTCATTCAATCAGTCAGTCAGTCGGTCAGTTAGTCAGTATGTCAAATTGTGCGTACTGATCGACAGCTGCATATACTGTATATAAGTGCATAGCATCAATAAGTAGATTACCTGTCTACTACGCACCTGATCCATTAGTGTTTAGCTTGTACAGTTACTCGTCAATAATGTCAGATACTGGTGCCGCGGGTCTACCGGAAGACCAGGATGAACAGACCATGAAGGAGCAACAGCTACTCGAGGAGGTAACTGCAAATGTCACGCCAGCCAGTCGAGAGCTCGGCTCGCCGAACACAAATGCCCTTTCCAAAATAACTGATAACTGATAACTGCCCCATATCAACAAAATGTTACCATGCTTAAAGTAAATTAAAAAGCGAGTTGTTGTGAGAATAACAAATAGTCAAAATTATCAACGTAATATCTGTTTCCGATCTTCAACCGCAAATACTATAAGGAATTTTATTATCTCTCTCGCACAGCCACTAAATCAAATCTGAATCCCTTTTAACATAAGCTTTAGATTAATGTTGTTCTAGACTTTTGGAAAGAGTAAATTGGCAAGTATTAAAGTAGTTTCGACTTGAAAAATGAAATATATGCATGCCGTGGGATTTTGACTATATTGTAGATATATCGAACCCATGAATCACGTAGCTCTAAATCGATGCACCCTTAATTCGAACAATTGATGTTAGATTCCTGTAAAGTATCCTATGTCATCGAAGGTAAGTCTTTGACCGGTTTTCCATATATCCCGCTCCCTGATAAGCTAACCATTATCGCACTTCCAATTCCACACTGGACTCTTTTTTCGTGCTAAATCCGTTTGATCCAATTATCTCTTAACCCATTATTTGTTTTATTAAAAATAATAATAGATCAGAGGATCCAAGAACAAGGGAGAAGGTGGCGGGGGTGGTGGCGATGCCGATGACTTTGATGCTTGGATGAAATCGCGCCAATTGATCAAGCCGGATGACCAGCTGGATCTGACAGAGGCCGAGCTCGGGGAGGAGGTCACCAAGGTGCTCACGCCCACAAATACAAATGTGCTACGCAATTTGGTTGTGTTCAGTTTCAAGGAGGGCGAATATGTGTCGGCACCCATGCCGGGCAATACTGTGACTTTAATAAGCTTTCCGGGAAATTCGCTGCACGTGGACTCCGAAGAGGCGCGCATTCAGGTTGAGGAATCCGATGAAATCGGTTATCCATTGCCCATGCCGAACTATTCGGTGGTCGAGCAGCGGGAAACCGTAATGGAGGGCGAAGAAGAAGGCGAAGGGGAAGGCGAAGAGGACGAGAAAAGCGATATTGGAAGCAAACACGGTCATATCGCTGGCGAGGAAGAGGAAGCCGAGGAAGAAGAGGACGAGGAGGGTAAGGCAACAGAGGGCGAAGCCGCCACCGAGACCGAGGCTGCCGGCGAGGACGAGGAGCAGGGCGGAGTACAGCAAGCAGTTGCTACTCCAGGCAAAAAGCGTAAACTGATCAATCAATTCAACTATTGTGAACGAGCTACTCTGACCTATGTCAATCCCAAGCGTGTAAGTATAACCATAAATAGCCATCGCATTATTTCTAAATAAAATCCGTAACGTGTTTCCAGAATGTGGACACTCAAACCATTCCGCCGCCTCGTTCCCAGTTCGGCGCCAACGTGCTGCAGTGGGTCATCTATGACACCTATATGGAGGACTACGAGGAGCAGCAGAAAACGGGCCACATCCATGGAGATCAGAGAAGACGCTCGACCAAAAAGAGCTTCAAAAAGAAGACCGCCTTGGCGGAGCAGCTCAACCGCAAGTATGTCAGATGCTGGCAAATTCTGGAGCGTATGATAAACCAGAATATATACGACGATATTGGCAACGACTATCGCTATTGGGAGGATCCGGCCGATGAGTATCGCGAAGGCGAGGGCAACCTGCTGCCACTTTGGAAGTTCCAATACGAGAAGACCAAGAAAATGAACGTCACCGAGATTACGTTCAATCCGAGCTACTACGATCTATTCGCCGTGTGCTTCGGTTCACGTAAGTAAACCCGTTGTCCTTGGGAATTCACCTCCTGCTAACATCCTATTCCTTGCAGATGATTTCCTAAAACAGCCCAATGAAGGCTATCTGTGCCTGTTCACCGTGAAGAACCCCTCGTATCCGGATTACATAAGTGAGTTTGATTGGGCCTCCAAGTCAGACTTCAGTCATAAATGTTTTCCTACTCTAGTTCAAACGGATTGCGGCGTCATGTGCTGTGATATCCATCCACACTATCCGTTCCTTGTGGTCATCGGCCTGTACGATGGCAATGTGGCCGTCTATGATCTGCGTGATGGCTGCAAGGAGCCCATGTACGTCTCTAGAGGAGTTAAATGTAAGCATGCCGAATGCGTTTGGCAGATCAAATGGGGACCGGACATGGTTGACGGCGAAATCAACTTCTATTCTGTTTCCTCCGATGGCTGCGTCTTTAACTGGATTCTGATGCAGAACAAACTGTGGGTAACCACCATAATTACGCTTTATCTAGAGAACGGCATTGCGGATGGACCGGATGGCACCAAAGTCACACTCAGAAGTGGCGGCTCCTGTGTTCAGTTCCATCCCACAGATACAGCCGTCTTTCTTGTCGGCACCGAATGCGGTCTGATCTACAAGTGCAGCACGGCGTTTAGCTCCAAGTATCTGATGACCTACTATGCACACAATATGTCCGTGTATCGCATCGACTACAATCGCTTTGATTCGAATATATTTGTGTCCTGTAGCGGAGATTGGCGCGTCAAGGTCTGGGAGGACATGCGAGCCGATCCGCTTTTCATATTCGACCTCGGCTCTGCCGTTGGCGATGTCAAATGGGCGCCCTATTCGAGCACCGTATTCGCAGCGGTCACCACCGAGGGCAAGGTGCATGTCTTCGACCTGAATGTGAACAAATACAAGCCCATATGCGTGCAGGCTGTGGTGCCCAAGCGCAAAAATAAACTGACCCGACTGGCCTTCAATGAGAAGCTGCCCTTCATTGTGGTGGGCGATGAGAAGTGAGTATCGCTGGGATATTTGTGTGCTCCATGCCGGATAAATGCAAGCTTATCTTTTTTCCAGGGGAGTTACCACCTCCTTAAAACTGTCGCCCAACCTTCGCATCATGGTCAAGCCACCGAAGAAGCAGCTCTATCTCGACCAGCTGACACTGCAGAACGCAAAGCTGGAGAAGCTATTGTCCCTGGTAAGGGAGTTGCCGGAGGGTTCACCCGTGCCGGATGCAGCTACCACTGCACGGACTTAGACGCCAGCTATCACAATGATAATGTATTATATTTTGATAAGTTAACCTATTAAATAAGTACGAATAGTACACGAGATCTTTATTGAATGGACTGTAGACGAGTAGGTCCGAGGACCTTGGCTTGAGGATTAATCACTTACTCATCTAGCTATAAATATAGACAGATGCGAGCTAGCTATCAACATAAATATGGGGAACACAGAAAGGAACACAACCTTAATCTTACAAATAGAGCTTAGCACAACGAACATATAGTACATACAGGAAGTAAAGGACCTACAACTGTTCTTTAACGATCTTTAAATGGAAACTTATGCTAAGGGCTAAACACAATTGTTGCTAAGTTGTTGGTAAGGATCATCTAATCTTCAGCGGCATCATTCGAGCTGACCTTGATGTTTTTGCCTTCGAGGAACTCCAACACATTGTTGGGGCACATGACACTCTTGCCCAGAAACAACACAGTCGACATGGGATGCAAGTAGTCGGAAGCGAAGGTGGATGCCTTCCAGCCGAAGAAGCCGCTGGCCCGGACCTCGTTGCCGCTAATCTCGTAGGGTAACAGATTGACGCCCACCTGATTAACCTTGGAGAACTGCACACGGAAGTAGTGGCCGTCGGTTGCCTTTATCCAGTAGAAGCCCTCGCCGTCCACGTGGGGCTTGCTCTGCGACTTCTTCATGGCGTTCGAGCGCTCCAGGTCCTGCACATTGAAGCTGATGTCAATGTCGTAGGCATCCGGGGAGAGCTGATTGGTCTCGATGGCGCTTTTCAGAGCATAGTTGTCCAGCCAGTAGCGTATGCCCACGTTCTCGAACTCCTCGAGCACATGGTTAAAGGTGGTCTTCAGCTTGTCCAGGCAGCACGGGGGCGTGTGCTTGCCCAGATAGTGGTAGAAGGGACGATTGTTGTAGACGGTGCCAATGCACGACTTGGTCGTTCTCTCGCAGCCAAACAGATCAATGTCCGTAACGAGAGGCAGTGAGAAATTGGATGACGAGAACTGTGCATCCAGCACGGGGCTGTGCGGCTGCCAGTTGCCTTCACGTGCTGTCGTCTTGCCGCCGACTCGATGGGTTCGTCGCACCAGGCGCTTAATCTGCAGCTTCTTGTACATCTCACGGAACTGCCGACGACGCAGCTCCATGCGCCGCTGCTTCGTGTGGAATGAGGCAAATAGCCGGCGCCCCTCCAGAAAGGATTGAGGAAAAACGGTCGTCTATGCGAATGGAAAACTTCGATGTGAAAGCGAGCACAGGGTAAGTACTATAAGACTTTATGTTACCGTTAGGTTAGCAATCTTGGCCTGCACGTAGAGCATCTCCGGGAAGGGTAGAGCGAATGGCTCCGGCATTGAACCGAGTGTCGCCACGTCTATGAGAATCGCATGCTTCTGCAGGAACTGGAAAGAGAAGCAGAAGCAGCGTATATTTTATGTCTATATCATATTCATATCCCATTTACCAGGTCGCAATGCGTACTATCATTGCGTGCATCCAATTCCATAGTCCAATTGGGCAGATCCAAGTTGAGCTTGGCGCAACTGCTGAAGGATTTCTGGTTGCCGGCGAACGGCACGAGTACCAGACGACGCACAGTCTCCTCCGGCGCGACGGTCACTCGCTGCTGCACTTTGCTAGGCTCCCGTGAGCCGGACTTCGTGTTCATCTCGCGCAGAATCTTCTGCAGCAGATTCTTGCTGCTCAAGCGCACACTGTCCGGCATGAGGAGCGCATATTTGGTGTGTATTGCGGCGAGCGGGTTCAGTTGCTCGCGTGTCCGGCGCACATCGAAGGCTAGACTCATAAAGTGAACCGTCTGCTCCTCGCCGCTGGTCAGGTTCCGCTCAAAGCTAACCGGCGGGTAAGCATACTCGGCGGCGCCCTCCTGCAGCACCAGGATGGGTATATTGGGCACAACCTCCAGTATGCTAAGGAGACAACGAGTGAAGCAATAACCGGCATATAAACAGGTGAGATACTCACCTTTCGATGCTGGGTCGCAGATCCTGCTCGAAATTGTAGTGGCCATAGAATACTATTGTTATGGACTTGCGTATGTGCTTGTTGGCGTTGCGTGCCTTGTCCTTTGGCGAGAGCTTCGTGCGGCTGCCATCGCCCTTTGGCCTCGCCTCGGCGGTCTCGCCCGAAAGCGCCCTGCTGATGCGCCGCCAGAGCAGCGTATTCCAGGTGTAATAGAAGAACACCAGATTGGCGATAATAAAGCCAAACAGCAGCAATTTGACCAGCCGAAGTCTGAATATCTTCATGATGCTGAGCGTGCTCGGGGCAGCGTGTGCTTAATGGCTGGCTGCTAAACAGATTATCCTTGCGGCTGCGAATGCAACTATGAACTCTACGGATAACACTTCCACTGGCCGTGTATCCCCATCAATGATGCGTGAGCCGGCTCGAGTTCACATTAGCATGTGTTCGTTTGCAGTGCAAACACATTTTATTTAATATTTTGTCACTTTTGTTTTTGTTCAGTTTCCTTTTCCGTCAGCTTTCCGAGTATACTTTTCGCGTCAAAAGCTTTTCCCAATCCCAACAGCTGATTCTTTTCACCAAGGAGCAGCTGGTTTGGCAACGAGCTAAATTTCCACATCCTGCGAAAGCTGCCGATGAGCTTTGTGCCGGTGAAACGGACGAGTCGAAACATACCCTTAACGCGGCTACTCGCTCACAAATTGGAAGAAAATTCAAAAAAAAAAAAAAACTACCATCAATGTAAGATATGTTAGGTAGAGGGTTATTATAATTTTTTCATTAAATATATAACACATAGCAGGAAATATTTCCCATCTTAAATTCTTGATGTCCATTTAATAAATTGTTAAATTTGACCTACCTGGCCTCTAATAGCAGATATTGCTATTGCATTATTAAAAAAGCTTTGCACTTGATGAATGCCAACAGCCGATTTAATATATAGTTATGTCCATGTCTGTTCTTATGGAAATTTGTCTCTCCGAAAGCTATCGTTAGAAGCCTTGCCTAGGCTAGACCGCAAACCCAACTGGATCCAAACACTATATCCTACAGCTTTCATTTGAATTGTTGGAACAAATGAAATGTTTGAAAAACATTTTTGTCTTTCAAAATATCGGCACTTATTGTTTTCACTATGTTTCTTAACTTATCAGAGTTGTCCATACAATAATTTAAAAGAAATATTCAAATATTTAAATATTTATTCGGTGATTATAAGAAATATATTTTATTTTGTTTACATAATGCAAATCTTGTTTGAAGTTGCGAAGCAAATACAAATACATACACTACATTTTATGACCGACATGCATATTTGGCATTTAACAACAAGAGAAACATTTATTAACATTTATTGGGAAAATTCAAGCATCGAACATATATATTTAGTTCCAGATCTTAGGGTAAAGCTATGTTGCAAGCGGCTTTATCGGATTATAGAAATCTGTATAATTTGCAATCTATTGTTTTTGGCACTGCGGAATGTTTTAAATGACAATTACATATGTCAATTTTTTGGTATACAACTTCTTGAAAACCTGCGCTTAGCTCTCATATTAATATCACACAATATTTCGAATACTAATCTCTGTCAGGTAACTCTTAGTTTTTTACTATTGTTCGGTTCAAATTGTGCTCCAGTGAAGGGTTTTATTTTGGCTGTAACCGACCGCGCAATACTCTATTCAGTTGAAGCGGCCGAAGGGGGCTCTATTTCCATTTGTATAGATTTTTTCGTTCTGGTTGGAAAAAAAAGTCTACCACGAATTATTTAAAAAAGTCGACTCACAGGAACTAACATAATCTCTTGTACTTTACGAGCAGTGTATAGAAAATTGAGCAACAATTATATTTGAAGCAACTAAGCACTTTTCGCACCAAATGGTTAACTTTCTTTTTAGATTAATTTTCGGCTAGATTTGTACTTGAGATGTTGGGCATGGGATACTCTGCGCTGGCTCACTTTCCCATGCCGGCGAAGAGCAGGGGAAAAGGTACCTCGTCGGTGTTTAGGAGCGGCGGAGTGGGAGCACGCGCCTCAGCCTCGGTGGTGCTGTTTAGCCAGTAGGTGGTAACGGTGCCCTTGCCCTTGAGCTCCACATCGCCCCTGTGCTCCAGCTCGAATGTGCCAAACTTGTCCAGGATGGCCTTGGTGGCCGACGAAACATGAATCTTTCCAGCTGCAAATCGGACGATATTAGAATACAAAAAGTACTATAAAAGGCCGATGGCCACATACGCATGCCCGTGGTCTCCAAACGTGAGGCGGTGTTCACGGTGTCGCCAAAGAGACAATAATGGGGCATCTTCTTGCCCACGACGCCGGCACAAACGGAGCCCGAGTGCATGCCGATGCGAATCTGGATCTTGTAGTCGGGCTTGTGCCTGAGGTTGAACGAGCAGACAGCCTGAAGTATGTCCAGGGCCATCAGCGCAATTTCCCGGGCATGCTTGTCGCCATTCGGCTCCGGCAGGCCCGAGACCACCAGGTATGCATCGCCAATTGTTTCCACCTGATGAAAGACAATCAAGGCTTGTAATCTATCCAGTTGTGAACTCACCTTGTACACATCGTAGAAGCCAATGATGCGATCGAATGTGCTGTACAGATCATTGAGGAAGTTCACCACGTCCATGGGTGTGCTGCGGGCGCAGAGCTCGGTGAAGCCCACAATGTCGCTGAAGTAGATGGTCACGCTGCTGAACTCCTCGGGCTCCACGAGATCGCCGGCCATCAGTTGCTGGGCGACGGGGCGTGGCAGGATTTGATACAACAGCTCCTCGGTGCGTTGTTTCTCCAAGCTCAGCTGCCGGGTTTTCTCCTCGACAAGGCTCTCCAAGTTGTTGGCATAGTGCTCCATGCGATTCAGCAGATCGTCCATTAGATTCTCGCAAAATCCTCTGACAAGCCCAGATGCATATGAAAATTAATGGAAAATCGGAGACACTCTACTCACTTCATTATTGTGCGTATGTTGCTCCTGATCGTGGAGAATGCGGGACGCTCCTCCTGATTGTCGGCCCAGCACTTCTCCATGAGCACCAACAGATCCGGCGGGCACTCTCGCTCGCGAATGAGCGGCCGGAAGGGCGGATATTCGCACTGGCGCACCTTGTGCAAAATCGTGTGCACGTCCATGCCCTGTTGCCGTGCCTCCTGGTAGGGGCCACCACGATTGACAATCTCCTCGAGAATAATGCCAAAGGAATAAACGTCGCCGCGCTGCGTTGCCGGGCAGCCGGGTATCGATGTCATCGGCAACAGCTCCGGCGCAATCCACAGCAGCTCTGGAAAATCAACTTGGTTAGCAACAACAGCAAATAGCAAAACATTTATTCGAAAAGGCCACTTTCTTACTGGTATAGTAGTTCTGGTCGCGCACAAAGTCGGAGGGCGTGGTCAGCGTGCTCAGGCCAAAGTCGGAGATCTTCAGAACGAAGCGTCCATCGATCAGGCAATTGCAGGAGCGCAGCTTGCCGTGCGCGACAACATCGCAGTTATGCAAATAGCTCATGCCCTTGACAATGTCGTGGATGAGGGACATGCGGAAGTTCCAGTCCAGCTCGATGGCCTCGTTCTCCAGCACATCCTTGAGACTGCCGCGCGAGCAGTATTCGGTCAGGATGAGCACAGTCGGTCGCGGCAAATCGATGCAGGCGCCCACAAAACGTACCGTATTCTCATGGCTCACGTCGCGCGCCTGCTTGATCTCCCACAGCAGCGTTGAGGTCACCTCCACCTTTTTCACATTCACCTTCTTGATGGCCACCCGCTCGCCCTTGAACTGCCCAATTGTCGTGTACACCTGCGGCGGCAACGAGGCGAAGCTGGCAATCGAGGCTCGTCCAGAATGTATGCCGAACTGTTGCAGCGAAATGTTCTCCACGTCCAGGCGCTGCAGTCCACCCTTCGAGCCGAACATGCCGCCCATTTCTATCAACACATCTTCGGGTCGCACGCGCCACGACATATTGTGCAGCTCCTTGCTGAGCTTCATTTGCCTGGCGAAAGAGGGGAGAGTCAACATTAGTAGGCTAGCATAGTACAAGCAACTAAATCCCTTTATTATTTATTGAGTAGATAAAGTTACACTGAATACCTGTCTTGAACAAAACTACATAAGGAGAGATCCTTGAATTTTCGCAAGTATCTTTATAGAGATACTTTGGATTAGATGCTTTGCTAACTAGGCCGAATAAGAATAATATTGGATCATAGGGATCTACTTGATACCCTAAATGCATTGAAAATATGCACAAATTATTTTGTGGCTCTGCACAAGGTTTCCTTAAAGTTTTCAAGGCTTCATTAAAGTCTCGAAGACATGTTTTATATCTACAAGAATATTTAATCTTCCGCCGATCTTTGATCTTACTTGTTATTACTTTTCTGACTTTACTTACCTTTGCAGCAGACAGATGACCAAAAACACAAGTGCCAAAAACAACGCCAGTCCGAATACGGAATACATGATTGTGGTTTCTGGAAGAGATTAATATTGAATCACCAGAAGTCAGAGAATGGAGTGGATTATGAGCGTACCGTTTCCGTGACAGTCGGGTGAGTTGCCCAGAAAGCCGCAGGGTGGAATATCCGGTGGTGGTTCCTCCCGGCCACCGGGCCAATGGATCTTCTTGCCATGCGCAGCCGCATATTTCCTGGAATAAAACGCCGTTAAAGAAAGCCTGCGGCAAACAGGCCAAGGATACGCACCTGTGCAGCCCGTAATAATGTGCCACCACTGAGAATTTGCCATTGATGGGATCCAGATCAAGTATAGAGTAGTCAGCATCGCGGTCCCCGTTGTCGTCTATGCGAACGTGTCCGGTAATGCCGTGGAATGTGCGATTCCACATGCGGCGCGTGATATTGACACCGTCTCGAATGTCTCCGCCCTCGGTCAGCGTTTCATTCAGGGCCATGCCCAGCAAGTAGACGCCATCGTAGAAAGCCCCAATGAAGAAGTTAACCTCCTCGCCCTCGCCAAACGTGTAGTTATACTCGGAGAGGGCATTCTCGCGCACATTGTCCGCAAAGTCCTGGAAGGTGGGGCTGGTCGGCTGCAGCAGCGAGACGCGCAGCAGAGCCTCGTACGCTTTGCGGGCACGCATATCGTTCTCGTCGCCCAGCTCCCAGTCCTTATCGCCCCAGTAGGCGCTCTGGAATATCTCCACATCGAGGAACACCCACTCGCCGTTCGTCATGCCCAGACTGTGCGCGGCCAGCATAAACTTGCGTACGAGAACACCGCGTACCGACAAGATGACCACTTGGATCGGGGCACAGAAGCACTTTTGAACATTCAAATCTGTCAGATTGATCTCTAAGCCTTACCCCGCGCATACATGCTCGCGTCCCTGAGATAGTTCTCGTATATCTCCTCCTCGTTGCCGTTTAGCTCGCGCACAAAACTCAACAGTCCCTCCTGACGCAGTCCGTACTCCAGATTCTTGCCAACCGTCAACGAGAATAGTTCCGAACGATCCACCAAGAGCGCCACATGCTTCCAGTTGAACTGACGAAAGACGCTGGCAAAGACCAGCTTGAGGCGACACTGGCAATAGGACATTCGCGTCAGCGTCGGATACTTGGACTTGTCCTTGAACATGCCCTGTAACAAAAGTCTGCTTTCAGCCATACAGTACTACGAAAAAGTATCTAAACCTCTTGCAGATAAATGTTGAAGAAGATATTTAGTCTATCACAACAATGTGCTTCGAAGAAGGGCTTATTAGAAGCGTTTGAATTTGAAATCTTTCTTTTTAATCTTCTTTTCTCTTTACCCAATTCGACATCCAATATGGGAAGATGGGGGTCAAAGCTTTTATGAAATACATCAAAATTTGTTATTTTCAAGAGCCTCAGGTGTCTGAGCCTCGGACTAACAAGCGAGAAGACGCTAGTTCAAATCTTTTATTTTCGAACCTAGCGCGAATTGGACCAAAAAATTATTAGATATTATATATGGAAAATATTCCTGGAATATTATTCCTCCTTCGTTATCTTAGGCCCTGAATATTTCATTGGAATCGGCCTATAAACACCAAAGTTAATGGCTTCAGGGTATCTGCTCGTCGTGCATATCTTAATAAATTATTTGGATTTTTTGTTAATTAATTGGGATAATTCACTTACCGTACTCTCGTTTTTCCACTTATGTATTCTGCCCAGAATGCCGGAGGTTACGGTCAGTTCGCCCTCGGATGAGGGCGGCTTTGGGGAAGAAAGGAAATGGAAATGCGTTTATTGAATCTGTGCCTCGTCTAAACATTGTCCAAGCAACTAGTTTGTACAATGATTCAGTTCCCAATTGGCTTTCGTGCAATTGCTTAAAAATCCCGTTTAATTGTCAATGCCAGGCAGGGATTGGGGGAGGGGTGGGTGAAATGTGACTGCCTGGAGCTGTGTGGTGCGAGGGATTAGTTGGCTATTATGCACCAAGCCGAGCATATAATTGAAAGCCCACTTGCTGTGCCGCGGCAGACATGGCGGATACGCGTTGAGAAGGGCACGGACAGATGTCTCACTCACCTGATCACCCATTCCCGTTATAATGGGGGTGTTCCAGTAAGCGGCCAAACGGGCAACCGGCTCCAGAGCGAACGCGCACGCGGGTCCTATGAACGCGATGACATCGTCCTTGAAATGCATATCCGCCGCCAATCCCGGCGCCCGAGCGCCCGAGCACGACGGGTAACTGGAATGAGCGGGCGTCAGGAAAGGATTAAAGCATAGACAAATAATTTGTGCAAAACATTCTCGAAATGCATTCCATGGAAAGGCGAAGGGGCGTGGGAATGGGAATGGGAATGGGATGTGGCGGATCAGGCGCAGAGCAGCTCAAGAGTGCGACCATGAAATTCGAGTAATTAACTGACTCGTGCAGCACGCAACAAATGGCAGAACTTAAACTTAGGAGGCAATTGGGAAACAAGCTTAATTCACGCAAGTTGGGCAAATCAGGACTTACCTGGCCTTCTTCTTGACCAGCCGGATGTTGTGCGGGCTGAGGAAGCGCTTGTTAATCTGATCCAGGGCCAAGTCCACGGCAGGGCCGCAGCGTTCCAGGTCAAAAGGTGAATCTAAGGCAGATTGCATGAGGTTGAGTCTATGCTGTTGCCCCCAGCCCGCCCAGTTCACTTACCCAAATGAGAGGCCATTAGGACGCCAACATTGTAGACACGCATCTTGCTGATGTCACTCTCGTTGAATGCCCCAGTCTGATTTTTGGACTCTCTTATCCGCTCGAACACATTGATGTCGATGCTTTCATTTAAGTGGCCATTGAAGTTACCATTGCTGGATCTTGCCAGATGCGTAATGCCATCAACAGCCTGTTCCCTGCCCTCCCGAGACTCGACCTGATGCAATCCAATCCCAAGTGCGGGCATCAGCAAGCCCAGAGACGTAATTAGGTTGGCAATAAGCAGCATATTCTATATCTACCGACACTGAAAATGAGAAAGAAGCCCAAAATTCAACGTTGACCCCCAAATTCCTTCAAAGGAACACCTCTGAAAATAAATTCAAGATCGTTTTTCGCCAATTTTCCACAATAGCGGGTGAAATTCCCCAAAAAATATCGCATAATGTAATTACTCCACAAACTAAAGCTTTTCATGTCATATTGCTTGGGCTGTGTGTTGATCATCAATCAGTCAGTCAGTCAATCAGTCAGTCAGTCAATCACCCAGCACGAACAGTTTTATATGCAGAGATAAGCTCGTTTCCCATATAATAAAGCTCCATCAAGTGGAAGAGATGTCATTTTGGACTAGTCGTATGTACGAGCTTATGAGAACTTTAAAAATTCCAGAATTGATTATACGAAACAATCTTAAAATTATTCAAAATTTAAAGCATTTCATATTTATCCACCAATTCACTTTCTTTAGCGCTGGCAACATAGAAATGGGAAATTAATTCAAATCACACTTACAAAAGATAATGAGGCGCAAATAATTATTCTGAGTTGTTGCCTTGAAATGTTGCCAAAAAGATGTTGAAAATTTAGCAAAGTATTGTTCGAGTTAGAAATTAAAAAATGGGTTAGCTTTAATTTTAATTTAGTTTTCACTTTAAATTCACTAAAAAATATTTAGATTTTGTTGAATAGAAGAGTTCGATTTGTTCCGAGAAATACTTTGGCCGAACTTTGGGAGTCGCGTCTATCGAATGAGCCAGATGCAAAGCCTGGACCTTTTATATAGGCGGGACGCTGCTCGGCTAACAGGACACCTCCAACGCGGAGGCGAAGAGCAAGACATCGGCACGAGCTACCCAGCCAATGGCAGGCACTCGCCAGTGGGTGAGATGGCGGCTCGTGGAGCCGAATCCGGAGCCGGCATCGTGTCAATTGAAATGCCAATGTCTAAGGTTAGGCGAACAATGTCAGCGGCACAGACTCTGGGGCAACTTTGGGGCTGCAAAACAAAACAAAAAAAAAATAAAAAGAAGGACATAATTGTTTTCCTTACACTGCGTCTGCTTTCACTTGTTGCCTTCCGAGCGTGCTCCATTTGAATTTAAAGTGTTTGCCAGCCAGAAGAGCAACAGTCTAATAAAATCGTGTCGCGTGCCGCCAACAATTAATGCGTCTCTGCGTCTCTGGCTCCGGGTGTGGGTAGGATTTGGCCCATGCTATTCGCCAGCGAGCTATAATCGTGTCTGCTTGAGCTGAGTTTATGGCCCAGTGCATGTTGAATTCCCGCCTAGTCTGCCTGGAAATGTTGTCTCTTGCCTTACTGTCGATACTTAATAATAAATTAATCATAAACATGCGCATAATATAATATATATACTTTATTAAAATCAATTTAGAATATAATATATGGAAGCAGCATTTGAGAATGAAACCTGGCCCTTGCATAGGAAACTATTTCAGGAATATTGCTGTAGTTTAGATTAAATTAAACTGTAAGCCTGTTCTGGTCGGGAATTCCCGTATAAACGTTACCCTTAAAGTCCAAAATGTAGGATATATTCAGAGCTTCAACATGAAGGATCCCAGAGGATCTCAGAAGTAAAGCATATAATAAGATTTTAATTAACATGTGTATTTTAAGATTGTGCCATCCATAAAAATTGTAAGTTTCACAGTTTCACATTTCACATCAATTAACTTCACGCGTGTTTTGCATTTGAATTTTTTCGCTGTTTTTTTATGTGTTACCAGCTTACAAGACGAAATTAATTTACACATCCTTCTAGTATTTAATATATTTCTGTTGGTTTTTTTTTACCGTTGACAACAAGTATCGATGCTCGATCGATAGCGATAGCATAATTTTAAATTTAAAATTGAGCAGTTGCTTAAATGTGCATCAATCAGTGGAAACAGTGGACAGTTCGTGGTTTCTTGGAAATCGATAGTTTGCATTATTATCGATGTATTATCTAAATCGATTACAAATAATGTTTCTGATATTAAAACAATTAAGTATTTGCCACAATGAACGTTAAATTAAAGAGCTTCTATATACTACAACTTCTACACATTTGGTCGAAATACTAATTTAGAAAACTATCGATATATTAGTTCCCCTATCGAATAAAAAACTAAAGTAAGGCGACAACTCTATTCGGCGATGACAAGTATAATTTGGGAGAAACAATACTCGACGCCGCATATTTGCTTAATTTCATACAAAAAATTGTCTATACTTTCAAATTAATAAAAAATGGTAAGTACATTTTATACACCATCTACAATTAATCAAATCTGATGTAAGCACAGAGTTTAAGACGCACAAGCTCTGCGGCTTGCACATGCATGTGCAATTTGCCTAATCACCTTTATAATACTTTTTCGCCGACTTTTCCAGGCGCGTCGCTATGATTCCCGCACAACTATCTTTTCGCCCGAGGGTCGCCTCTACCAAGTGGAGTACGCCATGGAGGCCATATCCCATGCCGGCACATGCCTGGGCATTCTGGCAGAGGACGGTATTGTGCTTGCAGCCGAATGCCGCAGCACAAACAAGTTGCTAGACAACGCTATTCCATCCGAAAAGATTTACCGGCTGAATGAGTAAGTCATAACAAATATACACCAAATAGTTAAATAGTCAATTCAAAATGTAATTTTTTAGAAACATGGTCTGCTCCGTGGCGGGCATTACGTCCGATGCAAATGTGTTAACCTCTGAGCTGCGCTTGATCGCCCAACGCTATCAGTTCAGCTATGGCGAGGTGATTCCATGCGAGCAGCTCGTCTCCCACTTGTGCGACATCAAGCAGGCGTACACTCAATACGGCGGCAAGCGCCCCTTCGGCGTGTCGTTGCTGTACATGGGCTGGGATAGCAAGTATGGCTATCAGCTATATCAGTCCGATCCCAGTGGCAATTATGGTGGCTGGAAGGCCACTTGCATTGGCAACAACTTTGGTGCCGCGATTTCTATGCTAAAGCAGGAGCTGGCCGACAAGGACAACATTAAGTTGGATGAGGCCAAGGATTTGGCCATCAAGGTTCTGAGCAAGACTTTGGACACAACAAAGCTGACCACAGAGAAGGTCGAAATGGCCACTTTGCAGCGCATTAACAACACGACGGTGTACAGCGTTCTGGAAAAGCCCGATGTGGAGAAGTTAATTGAGAAATACAACAAGTTGGAGGCTGAAGCAGAAGCCGCTAAGAAAGAGAAGCAAGCTCAGCAACAGTCGAAATCCTAAGCAGTCTGTGTTGCTTGAGATGGTACATGAATAACTTCTAATTATAATGGAAAAAGTTAATTTTGTATATGAAATAAAATTTCAAAATTATGGGTTTAGGAAATGAAATTGATTGGCGATAGCGATGACGATAAATGTGCGATGTGGCAACTCTGACAATTCAAGCGCGTTGGCAGTCATCGTCAGAAATTGCCTAAAAATGACCTGATTTTTCGTATGCACTAAAAAAATACCGTACAAAACATTTTGTGGAAATTCCGTCGCTTTTTGCAGTTTTTGCTCCTAAGAAACTAAACTAAATTTGTAAAAATAGTAAATAATCGGTTTCCATCGATGGAAAATTACTAAAATATATTTCGCGCATCGGTATAGAAATAAAAGCAAACATTAGGAAATTTTTCCTACGCAGCAGATCATCATTGAGCGCGCGTCGGTGTGAGTGTGTGTCTGTGTGTGCGTGCGTGTGCCACAGAAAGTGGCAATCAGGCAGCAGCAATAGTTAAAGTGTACAAATATTCGTTAAGCATTTGATATTGTTAATTTATGCAATAAAATGTGAAACCAATGGCAATATCTCAATGTTGTCAATACAGAAAAAAGTTGTGTAGAAGCAGCCGCAACAGCGACATCCGCAGTAGCCGTCAACGTTAACGTATAAAAGGGCAAAAGAAAAATAAGGAAAATGAAATAACACAAAAAAAAAGAGCTGCGCTGTTGCGAGCAAGTATAAGAAACGCGAAACACACAAGTAAAGAAAAATCGAAATAATAAAATACATACGTACGTACTGTATGTATGTGTGTGTATCATAAAATTGTGCTTGTATGCGCAGTGCAAGTGTGTAAGTGTATATGTGTGTGTGTAAGTGAAACGTATAAATAAAATTCAGCCAAATGCAGAAACCAACAACAAAATGGATAACAAAACTACACAGTTGGATTTTAAATTACTGGTAATTAAATAATGTTTTCTATAAAATACCCTGCCTGTCCCAGTCCCCTCGCATTTAACTAAATACATAAATGTGTACATTCATGCTCACATGCATACACACAAGCATGCATGCGTATATGTACATATGTATATGTAAGTCTACATTCCGTGCGACTATCAAATGAGAGTGGCAAAACAACGTGTAATGCGTAGGCAAAGAAGAGAGCGGCAGAGTCGCATGGAGAAGCAAAAGAGAGAGAGTGAGAGAGCGAAAGAGATAACAAATGAATTGAAGTACAGTGTGCACTAACAGTTTAATTTCAGCTGTTGTTTTTGTTGTCATCTCTTACTATAAAAATGTGCGGAGTCTCATTAAAAAATTTGAGCATTTTTAAAAACCTTCCAGCAAAGCGAGCAATGGCAAGCATACATATATGTATGTTCAGTATATATTATGATCCCTTATGCATATGATCTGTAATCAATATTCATTTTGTTTATTCATCATTATATTATAGCCCTGCTTTTGGGGTGGTGCAGGCAGCTGCTTGTTTTATTATTTAAAAGCTACGTTCGTTTAACCTGCCCCTTCCGTTTTGCCCGTCCCACAATCAGTTCTTGCACAATATCCGCGCGC